GTCTTTGATGCACATGGGCCAGCAAGGCAGTCGGGGCCACGGGTAGTTCTGACCTCTCCTCTGGCTGCTCATCCCGCCTCAATAAGCGTGTCTGGGGCAAACCATCCCTTCCCATTGGGAGAGCTGCCCTTCCTACCTCTGAGCCAGGGCGGCTGCTTGTGGGCGGGGCTGTGGGCGGGGCTATGGGATTGTGGGTGGGGCTGTTGCCATGGCCTTCGCCCTGAATACTAACGAGGGGGGTGCACCTGGCTTGGTCTCCTGCCTGGGAGAGGAACTTCTTAGTAACAGATCTTCCCGGGACACTTGGGGAGCCAGCCTCTGGCTTCGGGAAGAACCGTGGGTCATCCGAGCTCCGCAGAAGGGCCTGTGTGCCTGTGATTCCGAAAGCTCCGGATGTGCCCGTCTAATTCAAACCTCCTCGATTGATGGGGGGGTGACAGAATATGATAGCGTCGGTCACATCTGAGGCTTTGCCAAAAGGTTACCACAGATTCATTTGCAGTAACGCACGGGCAGGACGCGTGGCTGCAGGTGAACAAGCGGCTGTCTTTGGCAGAGTCTGAACCCCGCTACTAGCTCGCGGGGGCTTTGCTTGCGGCAGGTAGGAGCTGGCAGGCGGTAGCTACGATGTGGCGGCTTCAGCGAGACTCCGGGTCTCTGGGCATTTTCACCTCCAAGGAGTCATTTCAAGGGTGAGCTTCCACACACACACCAGGGAGACAGCGGAGAGGCTGTCAGTGGAGCGTGCGTACCCAGTGGGCGCGTCCTTGGGCGTGGGGCCCTACACGCCGTCTTACATGCTGACGCCTGGGAATGAGGGGGGGGGAGGCGGGGGGGGGCATGGCGGGGTTATTCTCACCCGCTCGGTGAGGTTCAAAGCGCACAGATCTGTCCTGCTCTGCATCCCAGTCCCCGTTCCCGCGATCCCCAGAGGCTGTCTGTCCCCCTCAGTTTTACAGGCCGCTGAACATCCGCATCGTGCTGGTGGGCGTGGAGGTGTGGAACGACATCGACAAGTGCCCCATCGGCCAGGACCCCTTCACCAGCCTGCACGAGTTTCTGGACTGGAGGAAGGCGAAGCTCCTGCCTCGCAAGGCCCACGACAACGCACAGCTTGTCAGGTGGGTCGGCGAGGTCCCTCCTGGGCTGGGGAGGGAGCGGCCCCAGCGCCCCCGGCCTCCTCCAGCTCCACCCGCGCAGGCCCCCGCACCTTCCCGGGGGGTCGCTCAGCACTCATCGGGGGGCAGAGGCCCCCTGGCCGGAATCTGGGGTCTGCTGTGAAGCTGTGAAGTCTCCCTTTGGACACCTGGGAAAACTCTCCCTGTGTCCAATGTCTTCTTCCTTCTCCGTCACCTGGGCGTTCTCCTTGTGCAAATGTATTAAAATACGTTTTTATTGATTTTAGAGAGAGGAAGAGAGAAGGAGAGAGAGAGAGAAACATGGATGAGAGAGAAACATCAGTATCTATCGGCTGCCGCCTGCACACCCCTGTTGGGGATCCAGCCCGCAACCCGGGCATGTGCCCGGACCTGGAGTCGAATCCTGGTTCATAGGTCAACGCTCAACCACTGAGCCACGCCGGCCGGGCTGGGCAAGCTGTTCCAGTCTCCGCCTGATGCCCAGTTGTCCAGAGCAGCTGCTTTTTAAAGCCCATTGTCTTCCCTTATCAGCGGGAATGTTGATGCACCATCTGAAGGCGGGGCCTTGGGGGTGGTCGCCAGCTGCTCCGAGCGGGACACCTGTGTTCCCCTCCTCACGGCATTCTGGGGTTTCCTAGATCCGAGGCTGCAACAGGACAGCACATTAGCGTTAGGTCTGTCTTTCAATCCAACTGCCCTGGGCACCGAGCAGGACCCAAACTTCCGCCCCGGGGAGCCGAGCTGGTAAACAAGGCAATTCCCTGAGCGATCAGGGTGTGGAGTAACCAATGAGGGAACGCAGAGCTGGAATGTAACCGCTGCTACAGACTCCTTTATATTAAAAAAGAAGCATTCTTACCCTAATGAAGTAGATTGTTTCCAAAGTGGAGAACATTCTATTAAAGTCCTTAAACACTTTATGCCATTATCCTTGTCTTCTCGAGTTGCTTTATCACTGAATTAAAAGCTGTGGAGAGATACACTTTCCTTTAGCGAATTGGGTCTAATTTATGAGCTTTTATGGAAAGTAGACCACCAGTCCCTCCCATCCTCTCTTTAGAACATGCCCACCCCCGGGCGAGGCCGGGGGCAGTCCCTGTTCGTTCACTTCGGCCATCGTCAAGGGGCTTTTGTTAATTCCCTGCCTTGGATATTTGCGGTTGCCTCATATTTTGCGCATTGATTAACCCTGAACCATTAAAAAGCAGAATCAAAGTGTGTTGTTTTGACTTTTTTCCCAAATGGAGTCTGTCCAACCTGAACATCTGGAAATAAATCAGCCTCTTATATAACCTCCTCATGTATATACATGTAGTTGTTTCTGTTAAATGCTCGATAGAGATATAAACGTTAAGGCTGCAGTCCCTACTCTTGTCCGTGAGCATGCGGGGGGGGGGGGCAGATGGGTGGATACATACATACACACGTTCATACATGCATAGATGGGGTGGCAGGTATACTTGCTCCCTCTTGTCCAATCGACCAAAATACCTACCTTTTCACATAATACCTGTGAAATCAATGTATGTCCGTGGCCAACATGACATGAAAGCTCGTTTTTCCTTTAAACGAAATTCAACAATGACATTGTTTCATTTTTCGTGGATGAGGTAGGAGCTACACGCACTTGCATGACACACAGGCCTTGAGGTCATCGGACTCGCCGCTCAAGATTCCGCGGGAGGGAAAGCTGCGCCCGCGGGAGCCATAAGGGCCCCTTCCAGAAGCTCCCGCTGGGGGCTGAGGCTGCATGGGTGCGGACTCCTACACTCAGTCCAGGGGTCAGCCATTCTCCTGCGATTCCACTTTAAAAGTTCCGCTAGCAGGAGAGCGCCGTGGGAGAGTTTGGGTTTCCGTCCGGTCACGTGACGCAGGAGCACAGACTTCAGTGACAACAGGAAACAGAGCGAGCCGCCTACTGCGTCCCTGTAACCGCCGCGATTCTGTGCCTTCGCAGACAGCCCTCAGCAGACGGGCTTATGCGGAGCAGCCCCCTCCTCCTGCCCCCACCCCCCTGAGCAAGTAGGCAGACCACCAGTTACACAGTCAAGAGCCGTGACCGGCTGTCTGAGCCTTGGAAACAGAAATCTGAAAGGGTCAAGGGACCGCGGTGCAACTGGACCCTAAGTCGCCGAGAGCAGAGGGGACGGCCGCGCCCACACGCCCCCACGCAGCTCCCGGGGCGTGCGGGTCACTCCGGGACTGGGGGCCTCTCGCTTATGTACATCCGCTCTGTCCGTTTTGTCACCTGCGCCCCCAACCCTTGACCCAGTTACACGCCACACACCGTGTTCTTGACCTCGATAAATTTCTTTTTTCATCGAAGGTCCCAAAAAATATATCTTAGAAAATGTCTTCACCCTGTGTTCGTTTCAGAAAGGCCTTTCTCTTGTCTCCTAGTGGGGTCTATTTCCAAGGGACCACCATCGGCATGGCGCCCATCATGAGCATGTGCACGGCGGAGCAGTCCGGGGGCATCGTCATGGTAAGTCCCCCGTGACCGGTTCCCGGGAAGTCTCTGCTTCCACCAGACCTGGTGAGGTCAGGGTCTCTGGGTCAATGCATTTTAGATTTCACCCTGCCCTCCTTCTCGCTCTGTCTGTGATCGTACACACCCCACAATATCTTATTTTTTACTTATTTTTTTACAATATATTTTTATTGATTTCAGAGAGGAAGGGAGAGGGAGAGAGAGAGAGAAACATCCATGATGAGAGAGAATCATTCATCAGCTGCCTCCTGCACGCCCCCTACTGGGGAAGGAGCCCGCAGCCCGGGCATGTGCCCTTGACCGGGAATCGAACCGTGACCTCCTGGTTCATAAGTCAGTGCTCAGCCACGGAGCCACGGTGGCTGGGCGCCCTGCACTCTGTTAGGGGCTGCTTGTAAAACACATCCGTTTGCACACAGGAGAGGAGAGCGTGTAAAAATAGCTCATGCGAACCAGTCCTCCCCGTTTATGGAGAAAAAGCTCCACTGGGATTTTGGTCTGAGCCCCAGCCCAGGAATTCCCTCCCGGCACCGGGATGAGCCCGGCCAGGGGCTGCCCTCCCCTCCTCGCCTCGAGGTGGCCTGTGGTCGTTAGGATCAGAGCCGTTAGGACGGTTTTCTGACGGCTCAGCCTCCAGGCCCAACAGCCAAACGGCTGAGGTTTGTAAGGACTCGCCACCGCACATGCTTGACATACCTCCCGGCCAGTGTCCAACCGTCTGCAGAACAGCCTCATTCTCGGAAGGCGGGGGCCTGGGCTTTGCTGTACAAGGATCACTTTGTCATACATGGGCTCGATGTGTTTGTAAAAGGAAATAGAGCGGGAGGGATACCGGGGACTTGATTCCTCTGAACCGAAGAGGGAGGCGGCTCTGACAGGCTGCCCATCGGAGGACTCCTGCCCCGGCCCCTCCGATCATGAGAGGGAAGGTGCCACCAGGGCCGCCGCTGCGCCCACTCTGAGCCCAGAGCGAGCCCCCTGCCCCAGCCCCTGACGGGGCGTGTCCTCAGAGACCAGTCCAGCATCCCAGCTACACAAACAAACCCGTCCTTCCAAGAAACCGGGAGTTCCCCCGAAGGTTCCAAAGGGAACACGTGTGAATGTTCCGCGTGTTAGCGGGCGGAGGAGCCTGTTCTGCTGACTCCGACTTTCTCACTGCCCGCCCGTCTCTCCGGGGCACCCACACCGCGGGTTTCCTCTTCCCCGGGCAGCGCCAGGGTTCAGGGAACCGCGTGCCTGGGGGAGGAGGGGGGAGAAGGGGGAGGAGAGGGGGAGGCTGCAGGGAGGGGCACAGGCCCTCCT